CACCAGTGCAGTGCTCTGTTTTTTTTTTTACACTGTGATTGTCTAGACATTCACTGTATAAGCAATCACTGTATAATGCACCGTTTGCTGCATTCATGATGGCCTTGTTTACTAGATTGTAAGCTCGAAAGAGCAGGGCCCTCGAACCCCTCGTGTACTGTTTTGTTACTGTATTGTCTCATGTTCTGTCCCCCACTATAATGTACAGCGCTTAGAAAACCTTTTGGCGCTATATAAATACTGTATCATAATAATAATAATAATACTGTGATCACTGTGATTGGTCATGATGATAACATAGTACAAAACCAATTTCATTGGCCCTGTACCATGTGATTTCTGTGACTGATCACAGAGATCACAGTAATAAACAAAGCCATTAAGAATGAAAGCCAGTGTTTAGTACTGTTACTGTGATTGCTGTGACAATCACATGGTACAGGGCCAAAGACATTGGCACTGTGTACCCTGATCTGTGATCCCTGTCATCCTCCTGGATCAATGCTTGTCCCGTCCGGCCATTTATATATAGTGACTGGGCAGGAAGCAGTTAGCAGCAACATTTCATACAGATGTTTCCATGTTCTGCATTCAATGACTGTTACAACAAACTGAAAAACTAGATGGTTTCTCTCTCTGATTTGAGAGGGATAAAGGGTCATTTAGCTATGTGTGCAATAAAGCTTTTTGCCTAGGGTACCAGTAAAAAGCGATTTTACTTAAAGAGGAACTTCATTCCCCCCTTTAGTGGTTCCACCCTCCCTCCTACACTGACATTATGGAACATGCACAGATGTGATGAAAGACTCTGTTTGGCATTTGGGTCCTGGCAAAGTCCTTTGGCACGTTTGCACATGTGCAAAAAGTTTGGAACTTCCATAATAGATGTCTTTGCATATGCATGCGGAAAATATGCTAAGGGAATATGTGCATGCACAGATGTGCCACAAGGAGGGGGGCCAGGTAAACAAACGTCATTCTCACCTAGGCACCACAAAAAAAAATCCAATTGATGGAGGGAGTAGGCAGGGCAATAAGAAACTTAGCTGAGGATGAAGATCCACTTTAACTTATTCCTCGCTCCCACAGCATCCTTACTTACAATACAAAACTAACAGTCCTGCATTGCACATGATGATAACATCACAGCGGCAACTACTGGCCAGAGCACTGAAGAGCAGAGACTGCAAGGGACAGGTCCCATGGAAGAAGGAGCATCCAGGATTGGGGGATAAGGCGAGTAAATAAGGGGATAAGGCAAGCAAGATAAGATTTCTAAGCCCTGGTTCACAGTTTCAAATTGCATGACAAGTTGCACCCTATTGTCTGCAATGGAACCTTTCTAATTGGCGTGTCTCTGACTTTCCGGAGCCGCACTAATTTGAAAAAAAATGTTCCTACACTGTTTTTTTTGCTATCTCAGGTGTGACTGTGCATGAAGTCACACAGATGTCAGCCAAGTCACACCTGAAGTTGTACTGACATGCAGCTTTGAACTGTGCAACTTCAAGTGAAGTTGCATGATTTTAAAGTCAGATTCAGTGTGAACTGTCAGTAAGTGTCTATTCATATATGTAAATATTCTGTTGGATATAGTGGGCTATTTTTTACTGGTAGGGAAACCCCAGGTAACTTCCATGCAAACAAGCTTCTACAACAGGAGGATGGGTGATAGGCTGAATGATGAGACAGAAAGTACCTTTAACTGTTGATAAACTGGTTCAAAATTAGAAGCAATAATATAAAACAGGTTCATAAAAAAAACAAAAACACACATACATGGTAGAATATGGCTATTTGCACAAACATATGAAAGATGCACAGACATGGACTCTTCACATCAATGTCTCTGTGAATTAATCAGGGTAACATGTGGCTACAAAGTCTCTAAGACTCACTACCTCAGTAAAACAGTGCAGCACACAGCTACTTGTGATTATCCACATGGACAGCATCCATCACAATAAAATCTAGGGTACTCTAATAGCAATTAGAGAGAGCTCCCCATACTATTTCTCATTTGGAGAAGCTGCATGCTATTAGTCTCTGGCGTTGCTGTCTGCACATTGACAATGGAGAATCTCAACTAGCCTCAGATCACTTGTCTGGCTACCTCTGCTTCTTCAGTTGTGGCCTTTGTCTAAGCATGCTAAGTAAATGTACACTCGCTACACTTCATTCCACTTAAACCTGCTATGCCTGGCAAGTTTACAGACCATTCTTATTCATCCTGCAAAAATCCTACAGGCGGTTTCCTAGAATTAGGTCTCTGGGAGAGCATCAGGGGTTGAGTCTTAGTTCCATCTTCCTGGACAAAAAGTCTTCAAAAGGGTCAGTGGAGGTGGTAAAGGGGGTTCCACAACAGGTGCAGGGACCTGAGCTCAGGGACCAATGGGCTGTATGCTGTCCTCAGGATATGTAATTTATTCTGAGGATCTTGGAGATAATTGTGGAAGAACAAAGGGCAGCTACCACTGGACCTCTGCTGGTAGAAATATTTGTGGCTCACAATCCTGAACAAGTTCTTAAAATCCCTCGATTGACCCTTTATGGGTCTCAGTGGGTTTGAAGAGTTAACAGTATATGCGTCTTAGTTTTTCTTGGGTTCCTTTTGTCTAAATATTGTTGATTGCCACACCTGGGATAGGCTGTTGAAGGTCAACTCCAGGGACTTATTTCCATGGTGTCTACAATTTTCCTTTACACTAGTGTGTACCTATATTGCACTAGTAGTCTGTCCCCAGGTTGAAAGTCTGATGTTTCCAACTCTCCTTGCTCCACCCATGACCGCACTTTAACAAACTGTTTGACTTCAGACAGTCTTTATTTCCACTACTGAATTCAGGGAGGCAGAATGTGTTCAAGTTCTTCTGTAGTCGCTGTGGCCAATAAGTCTGTGGGCCACCAGGGAGTACAGCCAAATATAACATGATAGGGTGAGCAGCCTGTTTAGTAATGTACTGTATGGTTGTATTTCCAAACCACTTTGGATATATAATGGGTCAGTATTTACCAGTGGGGCAAGGATGTGCAAAGTCAGAGGTGGAATTTGACCCTCAGCACCTTTTGATACTGAACCGACCACTAATTTTCAGCAAACGTTTTCAACCAACTGGAACAGATCCACACATATGGCTTGTCTCTTGAACCCAAGTGTCCTGCTTTCACATGAATTCTGTCTGCCACACAGAGGACCTGGCCCCCTGACAGTACAAACTTCCAGATCACTGACCAGTCACGAGAAAACATTTTTCTGCAATAAAGTCTACCAGGGTGACACAGGATCTGTCAGGGCTCCAGGGTATGACCAGAGGTATGTGACTGACGCAGGGAAACGCAGGCTTCAGATATGTTATAAACAATACGATTTATTAACACTAACAATACATAAACGCAGTGCAATACTAAAACATAACACAGTGCAAACAAACCAAACCACCCACAGATAACAGTACATACAATGTAAGCGTCGTCAGGCAGGCCGGGTCAATAACAAACGGGCAGGTAGGAACAGGAGGAGCAGGCAGAGAGTAGTCAGGTCACGAGCCGGGTACAGCAACTAACAGGCAGGTAGGTACAGGGGGTCAGGCAGAGAATGGTCGGGGTCACAAGCCAGGGATCAGAACAGGAGAAGTCAGCAGAGGTCAGGATCAAACAGGGTCAGCAACAAGACAGGAACAGGAACAGGAATGCAGGAACAAGATACAGGGCCCAGGAAAAACACACACCAAGGCAAAGACTGCAGGTCTGGCCATCACTTAAATACACCTGCATAAGCAGTTTCAGGTGTTTGGCTGGCTGCAGGGTTGAGTCTCTGATTGTTGGGAGCACCCCTGGCCAGCCCTGGTACTGCAGCCCACAAGGCAGGTGAGTCCCACCATTACTGGCAAGTCCATTCCTAACAGTACCCCCCCCTCAAGGAGCGGCCTCAGGACGCTCCAAACAGTCCTAGCTGGGCACAATGTTCCACCGCCCGGGTCTGGTAACTGGCGGGATATCAAAGACTGGCACATCGGGCAGGACTCCGGGCAGCGGCACACCGGGCAGGACTCCGGGCAGTGGCACACCGGGCAGCGGCACATCGGGCAGGACTCCGGGCAGCGGCACATTGGGCAGGACTCCGGGCAGCGGCACATTGGGCAGCGGCACATCGGGCAGGACTCCGGGCAGCGGCACATCGGGCAGGACTCCGGGCAGCGGCACATCGGGCAAGACTCCGGGCAGCGGCCCATCGGGCAGGACTTCGGGCAGCGGCCCATCGGGCAGGACTCCGGGCAGCGGCCCATCGGGCAGGACTCCGGGCAGCGGCACATCGGGCAGCGGCCCATCGGGCAGGACTCCGGGCAGCGGCCCATCGGGCAGGACTCCGGGCAGCGGCCCATCGGGCAGGACTCCGGGCGGCGGCCCATCGGGCAGGACTCCGGGCGGCGGCACTTCGGGCTGGACTCCGGGCGGCGGCACTTCGGGCTGGACTCCGGGCAGGCGGGCACATTCGGGCTGGACTCCGGGCAGAGGCACATCGGGCTGGACTCCGGGCAGAGGCACATCGGATCACCACCAGGCGAAGCAGCAGGCACCGGGCCACCTGGCGGAGCGGCAGGCACTGGGCCACCAGGTGGAGCGGCAGGCACGGGCCACCAGGCGGAGCGACAGGCATCGGGCCACCAGGCATCGGGGTGACAGGCATCGGGCCCCCAGGCATCGGGCCCCCAGGCATTGGGGCGACAGGCATCGGGCCCCCAGGCATTGGGGCGACAGGCATCGGGCCCCCAGGCATCGGGCCCGCAGGCATCGGGGCGACAGGTCTCGGGCCCCCAGGCGGAGCGGCGGGCGCCGGACCCCCAGGCGGAGCGACAGGTCTCGGACCCCCAGGCGGAGCGGCGGGCGCCGGACCCCCAGGCGGAGCGACAGCTCTCGGGCCCCCAGGCGGAGCGACAGGCACCAAGTCACCAGGCACGACAGTGGGCTCCGAGTCAACTGGCATGACCGCGGGCACTGGGTCAGACATTGGATCGTCTGACTGGACAGCGGGCATCGGGTCACCAGGCATCAGGTCATTTGGCTCGACAGCAGGCACCGCGTCATCTGGCAAGGCAGTGGGCACCAAGTTACCAGGCACGACAGTGGGCTCTGAGTCAATTGGCCCGACAGCGGGCACCGGGTCATCAGGTTCCGGATCGTCTGGCTCGACAGCAGGCACCTGGTCATCTGGCGCTGGATCGTCTGGCTCGACAGCGGGCATCGGATCACCAGGCATTACCGCGGGCACTGGGTCATCAGGCATTGGATTGTCTGGCTCGACAGCGGGCATCGGGTCACCAGGTATGACAGCGGCACTGGGTCACCAGGCATCAGGTCATTTGGCTCGCCAGCGGGCACTGCGTCATCTAGCAAGGCAGTGGGCACCGAGTCACCAGGCACGACAGCGGACTCTGAGTCAATTGGCAAGACAGCGGGCACCGGGTCATCAGGTACCGGATCGTCTGGCTTGACAGCAGGCACCGGGTCATCTGGCGCTGGATCGTCTGGCTCGACAGCGGGCATCGGGTCACCAGGCATGACAGCGGGCACTGGGTCATCACGCATTGGATCGTCTGGCTCGACAGCGGGCATCGGGTCACCAGGTATGACAGCGGGCACGGGGTCATCAGGTACCGGATCGTCTGGACAGCGGGCATCGAGTCAACTGGCCTAATAGGATCATCAGGCTGGATCAGTTCATCAGGCTGGGTAGAAACATCATGCTGGGTAGAGGCATCAGGCTGAATGGAGGCATCAGGCTGAATAGAGGCATCAGGCCGGGTAGAGGCATCAGGCCGGGTAGAGGCATCAGGCTGAATGGAGGCATCAGGCTGAATAGAGGCATCAGGCCGGGTAGAGGCATCAGGCCGGTAGAGGCATCAGGCTGAATGGAGGCATCAGGCTGAATGGAGGCATCAGGCTGGGTACAGGCATCAGGCTGGGTACAGACATCAGGCTGGGTACAGACATCAGGCTGGGTACAGACATCAGGTTGAAGTGCGGGTGCCGAGGCACCAGGCTGAACCACGGAAGGCTGGTTCTCAGACGGCAGGCTCACCGGTTTGGATACTGGCAGGATGGTACTGGTTGGAAAGAATTTTCGCTTTTTTCTGGTTTTAACTACTGGAGCACTGCAAGTAAATGCAGGTCTGCAAACGAATGGAGCAGCTGGAGACAGAGAAGAGCTGGAGGATGGAACAGGGGAGGGAACAGTTGCTACAGAGGACTTCTTTACAGGGTTAAAGGCAGGATAGGTGCAGCGAGTGGGAACAGGGTACTGACATGCGGTAGATAGCAGGGCAGGAGGAGCTGTTGGGAATGCAGGAATAGAGCTTTGAGGAAATAGATTAGAAGCAGGACTGGGTTTTTGCAAGCTGACTGAGGCTGGGTGCAACAAATCTGTTCATGTCTGAAGTATGGGTTGAACAAAGCTGAGCTTACACAAAGCCTGTCTGACCAAAGACTGCACTGCGTTTATACAATCCCTTAATACCTGTGGTGAACATGCAGCATAATGCTCCAAGAAGCAATCTACATCATCCTCTAATAACCATACCAGGGACTCTACCTGGTCTGCACTAAATGGCGGCAAAAAGTCATTCCTGCTTTCAGGGGTACCAGATGAAGCCAACTCTACACAAACCTGAATCAAAGGTTTCACCTCAGAGAACTCTGTGCCCTGATCTACTAGAACATGAGCGATCCATATACATTCTAGCAGTTGATCCCGGGGATGCTCCCTCAGAGCCTGATAAGCATATTCTCTGTCATCAAACACTAGCAGAGATAAATACACAACCTCATCAAGATCCATCCTTCCAGCAACAAGCCAAGATGGCTTCCCTGTGCAGCCACTTCTGGTCAGGAATGGCCTTGGTGTAATGTCTGGGCTCCAGGGTATGACCAGAGGTATGTGACTGACGCAGGGAAACGCAGACTTCAGATATGTTATAAACAATACGATTTATTAACACTAACAATACATAAACGCAGTGCAATACTAAAACATAACACAGTGCAAACAAACCAAACCACCCACAGATAACAGTACATACAATGCAAGCGTCGTCAGGCAGGCCGGGTCAATAACAAACGGGCAGGTAGGAACAGGAGGAGCAGGCAGAGAGTAGTCAGGTCACGAGCCGGGTACAGCAACTAACAGGCAGGTAGGTACAGGGGGTCAGGCAGAGAATGGTCGGGGTCACAAGCCAGGGATCAGAACAGGAGAAGTCAGCAGAGGTCAGGATCAAACAGGGTCAGCAACAAGACAGGAACAGGAACAGGAATGCAGGAACAAGATACAGGGCCCAGGAAAAACACACACACCAAGGCAAAGACTGCAGGTCTGGGCCATCACTTAAATACACCTGCATAAGCAGTTTCAGGTGTTTGGCTGGCTGCAGGGTTGAGTCTCTGATTGCTGGGAGCACCCGCTGGCCAGCCCTGGTACTGCAGCCCACAAGGCAGTTGAGTCCCACCATTACTGGCAAGTCCATTCCTAACAGGACCATTCCCTGTTTGTAGCTTTCTGATAGTAACTTTGATCCTTTTCCAAGACTGAGCCATATAAAATAACCTAGTTGCCTATGTTATGGGTGCATCCTCTAGATCCTCTCTCTGTGTCTTTGCCCAGGTATATTCTTCCAGTGCAGAGAGGAGGGATGGGGGAGGTCATTCCACTTTGCCACCCCATTGCTTGACTCCTGACAGTAGGGCATTCTAGTTTTCCAACTTTCGCTGTATATGGTTGGGTCAGTCTCTCTGACTATAGGCCCAAACTCGACAGTCCCAGCAAATGCATGGTAACCTTGCTCACCTTTAAAGCAGTGTTTGCCTTCTCTACAAGGGAGCATTCCCTTTTTTCATTTGGAGCAGTAATCCTGTTTGCACTTAAATGCAGATAATGCTCTGTCTGGAGCTGATCCATTAATTCTATTAGTTTGCAGGTGGCCATCTTCCATGGAGCCGTATGTTAGGTTGCAGGTGAATCTATCTATTTCCTGCCCAAGACAGCCATACATATGTCCAAGTCTGTACATCTCTATTCTGACACGCTATGGCTATTTCTAATAGTCCATGGAATTTCGAACTGGGGTTGGTTATATCTTTCACTTGGAAGGTTTCTCAGACCTTGTCAGAATGCAGTCCTTCTACAAAATTTACCTTTAACCAACCATCAGCATTATTGCAGCTGGGCTTTTCTACTTGGCCCCTTTGCCTGAGGCGTATCACTGCTGCTATTTCTTGCAGTTTTAGTGCATGTTCAATGGATTCTCCCGTTCTCTGTTTTCTGACAATGCAATGGGCTCTTAAGTCACCTAATAATGCTGTTTGGCTATATACTGCTTGTAAACAGTTAAATATCTTTTCAAGGGAGTTTTGGTTTTCCACTGAAAGGTGCGGGATTAACCTTCTTACTTCCCTCCCTAAAGCATTAATGGGCAGTTCTGCCTCCTAAAGCGGCAGAATCCCTTGTGGATAGATCAGGTCCTATAATCTCTTGATCCAATAAACCAAGTTATGACCTGGCCCTGTGTACGTGGGTAATTGCTACAGCAGGAATACTGCTAGGAATAAGGGGGTCATTACAGCAGGGGCTGTAGGTTGCCTGCTTCCCTCTGAAGTAGTACTACTGAGTACTGCTGTAATGGCACTCCCATCACCATTGACTGACCTGGCCGTTCCTGTTCATGACCCCAAATTTAACAGAATGGGCAATGAATAATCAGACAGAAAGTAACTAATTTGCAGTTTACTAAACAGGTGAAAAGTTAGAAGCAATACTACAAAGCAGGTTCAGGATGGGCAGAAAAGCATGCATATACTGCGGAACAAGGAAAGCCATACCAACATATGAAAGATGCACAATCATTAAGCTTACTAAATGTTCAAAGTTAAATAAGTGGACACCCTTCTGACCACACCTCTGTTTAATCATGCCTACAAAACCACACCCTCATTTGCAGCCACGCCCACAAAATCATGCCCCCATTTTTCACATGCCCTGAAGCAATTGGTCACAGACTTGTGAAAGAAGAGACAGACTTTCTTTTACTACCAGGTTATTTTATTTTGTGTTTATTTATTTTTTAAATTATTTTCTTCCCATGTCATATATGGTTATGTGGGAAATGTAAAAAGGTCTTGTCAGGAATTGTGGCGACTTTTTGTATTCGCTTGCTTTTTTCTTTAACCACGTTCCCTCCTGAGGATTTACCCCCGTTCATGACCAGGCCATTTTTTGTGTTACGGCGCTGGGTTACTTTAACTGACAATTGGGCGGTCATACAATGCTGCACCCAAATGAAATTTATGTCCTTTTTTTACCACGGATGGAGCTTTTTTTGGGTGGTATTTTATTGCCTCTGCGGTTTTTATTTTTTTGCGCTATAAGCAAAAAAAGACCGTCAATTTTGAGAAATAACAATATTTTGGACTTTTTGCTATTAAACATGTCCAATAAAAAAATTTAAAAAATCAAATTTCGTCATAAATTTAGGCCAAAATGTATTCTGCTAGATGTTTTTTCTAGAAAAAAAATCCCAATATGTGTAAATTAATTGGCTTACATGAAAGTTATAGCGTTTACAAATGGCGGTATAGATAATGGGATTTTTTTTTCTACTAGTAATGGCAGCGATCAGCGACTTTTAGCGGGACTGCAGTGAACATTCTGATACTGGGGGGAACTAACTTTGTGTCACTGACACCCCAGTGATACCAATACAGTGATCAGTGCTAAAAAAAAAAAGCACTGACACTGTACTAATGGCACTGGGCAGGAAGGGGTAAATGTGAGGGGTGATCAAAGGGTTAACTGTGTGCTGGGAGTGCTTTACTAGGGGGGTGGTGTTCTTCACTGTATGCACACTGATTGGGATGGCTGTACTGTGCTCGAGCTGACAGGGAGGAAGATTGTTTGTAAACAAAACAATCTTCCTCCCCATCGGGGATTGTCGGTAATCACCGGGTGCCGGCTGGTAATTACCAGCAGGGACCCGGTGATTAACATGCCACGAATGGGGACGAATGGCGCGCCCCCTACCCAGAAATGTGAAATGATGTATATATATATATATATATATATATATATGTTATTCTGCGCACAGGTGCTGCCCTGTAGCAGTATATCTGCTATAGGGCGGTCCTTAAGCAGTTAAATAAACATATTTTCAGGGTATTCCGGGTATAGATACGAAATACCTTGAGCACCAGAAGAGAGGGAATAATGTAGCACATGTTGTGCTATGTGATGAACTGTCAGTGTGGCCAAATTGTGATAACATTGGGGTGCGATACATGATTTAGCATTTCCGGGTAGGGGGCACATGCTCTACTCACGCTGCCATTGGCAGCTTCACCTGTCGATCACCAGGTCCCGGCCGGTGATTCTCCGCCGGCATCCCGGCGATCGCCGTGTATCACCGATGGGGGAGAGACCTGTATGTAAACAATACAGATCTCTCCACTGTCAGC